TCCCCTCGGAGGCTCGGCACTGGCCCGCTACAACGCCCGGCAGCTCAGCCGCGTCTACCCGCTGGGGCTGAAGATGAACTCCTCCAACTACAACCCCCAGGAGATGTGGAACGCCGGCTGCCAGCTGGGTGAGGGCCCCCGGGGGGCACCCCATGACCTGGCACCATTCCCCGGAGCCATCACCCACCCTGACGCCCCGTCACCCTGTCCCCACAGTGGCCCTCAACTTCCAGACGCCGGGCTACGAGATGGACCTGAACACCGGGCGCTTCTTGGGCAACGGGGGCTGTGGCTACGTGGTGGACGGGGAGGGGTCCCACCACCTGGCGCTGCACGTCAGGGTGAGGCAACCCCACTCCCCCCAGCCCCATGCCTGCGTGGGTGCCACTGGTATCGCTGCTGGGTGACACTCATGACATTCCCATGACTGGAGGGTGCCACCTGTAGCCCTTTGCTTAGGTGACACCAACCCCACATCCAGCCAAGTGCCACCCATGTCCCTTCTCGGTGATGTCAACCTCATGTCCAGTCAGGTGCCACCCACATCCCATCTGGGTGGCATCAACCCCACGTCCAGCCAGGTGTCACCCATGTCCTTTCTGGGTAATGCCAGCCCCACGTCCAGCCAGGTGCCACCTATGTCCTTTCCAGGTGATGCCAACCCCACGTCCAGCCAGGTGCCACTGGCACACCTTCTCCCGGGTGCCACCAACCTCTCTTCTCCTGGGGACACTGACCCTGTCCTCACATATGTTTGGGTACCATCCATGTCCCTACTCCTGGGTGACACTGAAGCCATCCCTGTGCCTGGCCAAGTGCCACCCATGTCCCTTCTCCTGGGTGACACCAACCTTGTCCCCAAACCCTGCTAGTATCAGCTACGTCCCTTCTCCGAGGTGGCACCAACCACCTCCCTCCTCCCCAGTCTGTCCCCACACACAGCCACGTGCCACCCATGTCCCTTCTCCCGGGCTCCGCCACCCCGCGGTGCCCCGTGCCACCGGCTCCCACCACCCCGTGTCCCCAGGTGATCACGGCGCAGCAGCTGCCCAAGCTGAACCGGGAGAAGGGGAGCTCCATCGTGGACCCCTTTGTGCGGGTGGAGATCCACGGCGTCCCGGGCGACTGCAGCAAGCAGCAGACCCACCACAAGCTCAACAACGGTGAGCACTCGTCGGGCACCACGGCCTGGGCACCACTGACACCCCAGGGCACCCAGATCCCCGAGGCACCCGGTCCCCAGGGGCACCCAGGGGCACACTGATCCCTAATTCCCAGGGACACCCCAGGGCACCCTGACACCCAGGGGGTGGCAGAGTCCTCGGGCACCCAATACCCCAGGGCACCCGCTGCCCCCTGCCCCCCAGCTGAGCCACTGCCCAGGACATCCCAGTCCTTCCAGTGCACCCCAGACCCTCAGTGCCCTGTCCCCAGCACAGCCTGACCCGCACCAGTAGCAGGGCCCCAGCATGTCCCAGTTCTCCCCAGTGCTGCTCCCTCCGGCGTACCCAGCCCAGTACCAGTGTGACTCCGTTCTCCCAGTACAGCCCTTCACGGCAACCAGTCTGACTCTGTTAAACCAGTATACCCCATCTTGACCCAGTATGACCCCCATTCCCCCAGTGTAGCCCAGCCTGGCCCCAGTATAACCCCTGTTTCCCCAGTGTAGCCCAGCCCAGCCCCAGTATAACCCCTGTTTCCCCAGTGTAGCCCAGCCCAGCCCCAGTAAGATCCCTGTTTCCCCAGTACAGCCCCGAACCCAGGCCCTGCCCCAGTATGCCCGCCATTCCTCCAATATACTCCAGTCTGGCCCCAGTATCACCCCCACTCTCCCAGTAAGACCCTGCCCAGCCCCAGTATGACCTCCATTCTCCCAGTATAGCCCAGCCTGGCCTCAGTATGACCCCCATTCCCCCAGTACACCCCAACCCAGCCCCAGTATGACCCCCACTCCCCGAGTCCCACACACCCC